TAAATACCTTATAGACATTTGGCTAAACATTCTTGAAGTTACGAAATAGTTTTTTTTGAATTAAATATAACTGAAAAAATTTACAACTCGCATACTAACAATGCCGAAGCCTGATCTTGAATGGCCAGCGGTTCGCATTCGGAGGCAATTCATTGACTTCTTCACGGAAAAAGTTCACGATTTTGTACCTGGTTCTCCTGTGATCCCTTTGAATGATCCCTCTCTTTTATTTATCAATGCTGGCATGAATCAGTACAAGTCCATTTTTCTTGGTACCGCTGATCCAAACACTGATTTCGGTCGGCTAAAACGTGCCGTTAATTCTCAGATGTGTATCCGCGCAGGTGGTAAGCACAATGATCTAGATGATGTTGGTAACGACACATATCACCATACCTTTTTCGAAATGCTTGGGTCCTGGTCCTTTGGAGATTATTTTAAGAGGAACGCGATTTATTGGTCATGGGAACTGTTGACAGAAATATACAAACTTCCCAAGGAAAGATTCTACGCAACTTACTTTGAGGGAGATTCTAAGAACGGCCTGGAGCCTGATGAAGAGGCGCGTTTAATTTGGGAAGAGCTTTTACCAAAGGAACGCGTTTTACCCGGTAGCACAAAGGACAACTTTTGGGAAATGGGTGAAACAGGCCCCTGTGGTCCGTGCACGGAGATTCACTATGATTATATTGGCAACCGCGATGCGGCGTCGCTTGTAAACAAGGACGATCCTATGGTAATGGAACTGTGGAATTTGGTCTTCATTCAAATGGAGCGCCGTGAGGACGGGCAGCTAGTACAGCTCAAGAAAAAGAGTGTGGATACTGGGATGGGTCTGGAGCGGCTCAGTGCCATTCTTCAAGGTAGCACATCAAACTATGACACAGATCTTTGGTTTCCTATATTCCATAAAATTCAAGAGATCACAGGGTATCCGCATTCTTACGAAGAAGTTCGTGATGATCCCACCAGTGATGCTAAAGTTGCATATCGCGTAATAGCCGACCACATCCGCTGCGTCACCGTTGCGATTTCGGATGGTGCGATACCAGACTCTGTCGGCCGAGGCTTCGTTCTGCGCCGCATTATTCGTCGCGCGATTCGCTACGGGGTTCAGTTTCTTAATGCTAAGACCGGCTTATTCTCTTCTCTGGTAAGCATTGTCGGAGATACCCTCGGCTTATTCTTCCCGAATCTGTCGAACAAAAATACCCTTCAGCACATTAAGTTAATCCTTGAGTCCGAGGAGAGTTCGTTCGCGAAAACGTGGGAAACAGGTATCAAGCACTTCAACCGCGCTGTCGAAGAGGCCCGAGCTTCACATAAGAACATTATCAACGGCGATAATGCTTTTATTCTCCACGATCGCTATGGGTTTCCAGTTGACCTTACGTATCTCCTAGCGAAAAAGGAGAATATGGAGGTTGATATGGAAGGATTCAATGAGAATATGAAGATCAGCCAAGCCAATGGCGGGACTTCTGTAATAAGTAGGAGGATCTTAGAAAATCAAGAATTGGATGAACTAAGACATCGGGGTATACCACAAACTGACGATGAATTCAAGTACGTCTGGGAGGAACACATCGGGTGTATTCTTGCCATTTTTGATAAAACCAACTCTGAGTTCATTGATGTCCTTTCACCTAATGACCTTAATGATGAGGCCTTTGGAATTATTATGGATGAAACGAACTTCTATGCTGAATCAGGTGGACAGATCTATGACATCGGTTATCTTGTCGCTGCTGAAGATGCGGTATTTGTGGTCCGGAAAGTGTATAACATTGGTGGCTATGTTATCCACATTGGCAACCTCTCGAAGGACTCAATTTGCCCTATTCCTTCCTCCGCCAACGTTCAACAGCAGGTGAACTTCACCCGACGCTTATCCATTGCCTCCAACCACACGGCGACCCACCAGCTGAACTGGATTCTTCGCAACATTTTACAGGATGAAGATGTGGTAGGGCTCATGAAAGTACAACAAAAGGGTTCCCTTGTCGCGGAAGATATTCTGCGTTTTGATTTCAGCTACGGCAACAAGCTTACCTACGAGCAACTCAGCAAGGTGGAGTCGTTGCTTAATCAAAAAATCAAGGAAGCCCTTCCTGTATATCGTAAGAGTATTCACCTTCAAGACGGCTTGAGAATCAACAATGTGTGTCATATCTTTGGTGAGAAGTATCCGGACCCTGTTAACGTTATTTGTGTTGGTATTCCGGTCGATAAAGTCATGGAGAATCCAGAAGACAAGATGTGGGGTGAGTACGCCATTGAGTTTTGCGGCGGTACACACCTCAGCAATCTCCGTGATGCCCAGTTGGCCGTCATTCTCTCCGAAGATGCCCTCACGAAAGGTGTGCGCCGCATCGTTGTTGTCACTCGCGAAGAAGCAGTTAAGGCCATGAAAGCAGGTGAATCCTTCGTTCAAAAGTATGAAGAGTTATACCAGAATCAACCGTCCGATGCAAAACTGAAAGCGCTATCGGTACTCAACAAAGGCATTGGTGACTCAGCGATCCCATTGCTTGAAAAAATCCGCCTGCGCGAAAAAATTGACACG